TTTTTTTTTTTGTGGGTTACCTTCTTCCTTCTGATAATATGAAAATTGCATAATGAACTGAAGACAAAGGACTGATGGCTAGCTTCTACATTTCTCATGTATAATGTATATATTGAATGTATGGCATTTAACATTTAGAATATATGTGTGTGCATATGTATTGGATTTTTTAGATAACCTAGATATTATATACTAAAAAATTGATTAACTTTATTATATCTGTCTGCTACATCGCTATAGGGAATATTTACTTAATATCAGCAAGTTCATATCTTTTGTTTGAAAATCTTCCATTTCTGCAAGCTGTAAAATATTTGAAATTGATTATGATAGATGTTTAAATCTTTAATTGTTGACAACAGGTCAAGCAGTGGAAAGTTTGCTCTTCCGTGGATATACTGTATATTGGTGAATCACAGTCATCATGTCATGTCTCAAGAACCTCTAACACCAATGCTTAACTCCTTGTTGAAGGTAAATATTGTGAAACTATATTTTTACCTGAAACAAATTGCCTCCAACTTCAACATCATGCTTCCTCACTATTTTCATTTTTTCCCAGATTCAAAACTGTTACATGGGAAATTTTGCCATCCTTTTTTTAAAAGAAATGAGACCCATCTCCCTTTAGATTTCTTTGTAACCAATTCATTGTATTGTTTCTCCCAGATTACCAAGTCCAGAAGGGTGGCTATTCAATCTTTGCTACAGTTATCAGGGCGCCTGCAACTTGCAACAGCACAGGTTGGTAACCTAACACCATCACATTGAGTTTTGGTTCATGAATTATGCTATTGACTGCATAGTTGTGTTTCTTTAAACAGATTGACAAGGCAACCCAGAACAAAAATCGCCCCTCAGAACCTCACCAAATGGATGAAAGTGAAGAAGATAATGATGATGATGATAGTGCAGATGAACATTTGTATGGAGAAGAAGATGATGAATCTCAAATAAGTAGTGATGATGATAACTAAATGAATTTGATGTGAGAGGTAATAGTGTGTTATAATCTCAGAGTTTTGCTTGACACTTGATGTTTAATCCTAGAGTTTCTCTCTGTGTGTGTGCCGGGGGGACAAGGCCACACTATTGATCTTTACTGTATCTTTTACTGCTTGATTCAACTGTTTTGTGACAAAGTTTTATAGGTTTAGTTCCTGCCTTCTGTCTTGTTTCCCTATCAGAGGTCAGGATGTTGCATAATTATGCCTTTCCAAGTTGTTTGAAGGAAAAGGGGCTTAGTCATGGGGAAGAAATTTTGGTTTTCATCAAGCTTCTGATTAATGTGAAGGTGCTAATTGTTACAAGGAGCAAGATTTTTGTATTGTTTTTTCTTCTGATAATTATTTCTGACTAAAAAACAGCTGTGTGATTTATATTGGCTCTAATTTATTGAAATCAAATTTTGATTCAACTTTTAATCAACTTTTGCAAGTGCTAGTTAGATTCATTATCCTGCTTCTGTCACTACACATCCAAAAATCTGTTTTTTGTCATCTTTGCATTCATTCTAAAATGGGGTAAGATTAACCATAGCACTAATGTTTTGAAATGTGTGAAATTTTTAAGTGATTGAGAATCACAAGCCCACCACTCGCTCTTGATTCCAAAAACATAAGGTTAAAAGACTAATTTGGTTCCTCAACTTTCAGATTTGTATCAAAATTGTCTTTCAATTTCAAAAAATACTAAAATTATCTTTAAACTTTAATATTTGATACTAAAATAGTCTTTCCATTAATAGATGTGCCACATGTTTCGTTATTTTATTACAAAATTAATTTTTTTTTAAATATTAATAACGTGTAAAATTAAACAATTATATCTTATTATTATAACATATTTTCATTTATATATTCAATGACACATAATTAAAATTGAAAGACCAAATTTGCATTTATAATCAAAACTTAAGGACTAAGTTGGTACTTGTCTTCAAAGTTCAAAGATTATTTTGGCACCCAAAATTAAAGTTAAGGGACAATTTTGATACTTTTTTAAAACTAAAGGACAATGTTGATACAAATCTGAAAGTTGAGAGACTAAATTGGTAATTTAACCAAGATATAAAGCTATCTCGAGTATTTTACATGTTGCCATTTCAGTGAGGGGACTGTTATGTGTGAAGCAATAACTCTCCATTAATCATGATTCGTGTATCTATTGCTTAACAGTTGTTAATAGTCCCATGAGTGCTAGAATGGACGAGACTACTGGATTTTTTCAAATTAATTCTTGAGCTCAGATTCATCCATCCAAAATTACATTATGTTTATTCATTTAATTATTTATTTCCAATAGCTTCCTTTTGAAATCAAATTAATTAAAAAGCTTTCTAAGATGTGTTGTGTTACATTTTCATTTTCTTGTAATTGTAATTGTTTCTGTTCTTATGCCTTGGGAATCTTGTCATCATCAGTGTGATTTCAGCTGCTCAGTTTTGGTTTTGATGAATTGCTTTGAACGTTATCCAACAGCTTGTTTGTGTTGGTAGTTTGAATAGGAAATCAGCAAAATAATGGAAGGCTTAAAGCATGCCATGGTGTGTGAGGCTTCTTGATCTCTCTACTGATGCATTACTGAATAATATCTGTGTTGTTGATTGAGCATCATTAGCTTTTCCAATAATGAACAATATTCTTGATTTTTGAAGCTTGAAAGCATGCATCTGTGACCTCCACTGACCTAAGTGTTCACACGAGAAAAGAAGGTAGTATCTACTCCGTGCAAGATGAATCCTTTACAGACTAAATCTTTGAGATTAATATTTTAAAAATAGGGGAGTTATTTGTCAAAATTGTTGGGCTGAGAAGTTATTATTAGAGAATATTGTTATTTTTAACAGATTCTTCTACACGAAATGAATACCATACGGCAGATATTAGCTCTATTAGAAGTGGAATGCAGAATCAATTCTTCCAGCACTTGCAAGTCTAGAATCTTATTCCTGCCCCAACATTTGCAATTTTTCTCACAAGCTCATAGCAAGAATGTCACAGCCCATAGATTCTCATGTTTTAAAAATTATATTTATTTTTCTTCTTTATATATATATATATATATTTTAGTAATTTTCTGTCTTGGAGAGAAAAGAAACAGCCTCATGTTCATACCATTCTTTGCCAAACTATCTACATTATTCGACATGCATTTGGATTTTCATCGCTGAAAATAGATGTAATATTTCCATTGCCATTACCGTTGCTGTGATATTCTTCACTGTAGGGGTCCATCCTGCTGTAATGTGGGTAAGGTGGTGGTGAATGGACACACTGGTATTCGGTCACATAGGGTGATGGCCTGTATCTGTTGTAGCTGTGAGTCATATAGATAGGCTGGGGAGGCTCATTTTGTCTGACATAGATAGGTTGGGGTGGCTCATGTTGTCTCACATAGATAGGTTGGGGTGGCTCATGCAGAGAACACTGGCCATTTGGCGTTTCGTGTGGTCTCACATGGATAGGTTGTGATGGCTCATGTGAAGAACTCTGTCCATTTGGTGGCTCGTGTTGTCTCACATAGACAGTTTGAGGTGGCTGTTGTGAAGAACTCTGGCCATTTTGTTGCACATGTTGTATTGGCTCATGTTGTCTTGGCTCATGTTGTCTCACATAGACAGTTTGAGGTGGCTGATGTGGAAAACTCTGGACATTTGGTGGTTCTTGTTGTCTCACATAGACCGTTTGGGGTGGCTGCTGTGGAAAACTCTGGCCATTTGGTGGCTCGTGTTGTCTGATATAGATAGGTTTGGGTGGCTCATGCGGAAAACTCTGAACATTTGGGTATCTGCTCCATCGTTCATGCCCACCATAGTTGTGACCGTAGCCATATCCATAGCCATAGTCTGGTGGGTGGTGATATATTACATGAACTTTTCCAACATCATTTGGTCCTGGTGGGTACCCTGGTTGGGTGGCATTGGCATTACCACTCCCAGTTGCAGGTGTGGCCTCTGTTGGTGGATTCTCTGGTGGTGGTGGTTGGTCCATGGGTGGCTCTGCTGGTGGTGCTGCTTCTGCTTGAGGAGCTGCTTGACCCTGTGGAGCTTCAGCTGGGGGAGGAGGGTTTGCTGTCTCAGGAGCTGGTGGACCACCTTCAGGTGCTTGTGCTGATGGCTGAGCATCAGGGTCTGCTGGTTCATAATGGGAACAAATGGTTGCAATCTTTCTCGTTTTCTTTATAGCTTTGAGTATTTTCCCTGGATCTGCCCGCCCTATGACCGTTAATTTCTGCTGAGGAAAGTCAATAGAAAGATCATATATACCTGTCATATAGAATTAAGTTCAAAGATGAGAACTTAAGCAATGGATGAACATCATTGCCAACAAATACATTAGAAGGCATGCATTTCTTCTCTTCTTACCTTCAACTCCAAGTAGTGCTTTCTTTATCTTCTGCACACACCCGTTACAGTCCATCCGGACTTGTATCTCTGTGACTCGAGGTTTCTGCATTTGAAAGAGAAAAATGGACGGTTAGTTAGATAAAAACAATATAGTTTTTCTTCTATTAACGCCTGTAGATGCAAAACCTAATCCTCTAATGATGCCTATAGCTGCAGGAACTAATCCTAATGATGCCTATAGATGCAGAAACTAATCAATATTCATTGGGAAGGAAGCCTGCCTCTAACTCCAGCGCCATGAGGCGATGCAGAGAGAAATGAGAATTCCAGATGAAATATGCTCTGAATGTGATGGAGATGGTGACGGTGTAGAGACTGTGAGAGAGGAATCAATAGGTTGCATTTATTTGTAGAAGACGGAGGGAATATTTGAAAGGCAAAAGTGTGTGGGACAGGTAAGGAATCTCTTTTTCTCTGGGTGAGAAGAAAAGAAAGAATGTGAGAGGACTTTGATTAATTAGGCTTCTTTGTTCATTGCCAGGGAAGAGGAGAAGGATGTGGGTTCAAAAACAGGGGTCCCTGGTATGGACCTTAAAATGTTGAGAGCTAAAGGGAATTTGCTTTAATGGCAGGAAGAGATGATGGCCCTTCATTTTAGGATATCCAAACCGACCAAATACAATTATAAGTGCGTGAACAGAGGGTGGATTAATTGCATGCAATTGGTTCTTTCAGTCAACCATAACCAAAGTAGCTTTTTTAGGGGTGTAAGGATATCCACTCTCAAGGAATCCTTTTATTAGAAGGCACCACAAGAGATAAAAATAATAGAAATGTAGTTTATCTTCGGCATGATCTCTTTATTAAGAATTACAAGGCACAAATATCCTTCAAGTTTGGTAATAAAGGGTGATGGATAATGAAAACCAGATTCCTCCCCTGGCTTTAGCTGTCAGCACAGGAGCCTTAATAGGTATAGTTTCTTCCTTGTGATATAGACATTAACCCAGGCCCATCACAAGAATAGAAAGTGATGTAACGTAACCTTCTTTCATTTCTTTATTCACCTCATCTAATGCTTAGGTTTGAACCCGAGAATCTTTAACTTTTTCAAGGAAGGAGACGATTATCATTTCAAGGAGCTCTTCTTGCTGCCAGTTGGAATTATTTAATTGAATCTTGGGTAATGGTTGTTTTTGCTATTTTTTGACAATATAATTTCTTAGAACTCATTTCCCATTTGGTGAAGATTTTTTTTGGTATGTCCCATTTGGTGAAGATTGGTATAGTGATTCCAGCATAGAATTTGGTTGATGCTTGGGGATTTTCACATTTCAGCCTGTCTTAAGAACTTTTGGAAATGGTGCAAAACATTAACGTTTGCTTCGCTTTGGGATTGGACCAGGTTGGTTGACTCCCAACCATCCAGTGCCTGCCAATTTTTTTATGAATGACTTTCGAACAATCATTTGTTTGCTCAATCAATTCGGGTTTAAGAATGAATCGTACGGTTCTTTTCTTTCCTCTTCTTCTTTTTAAATAATAGAGAACCTGGGAAAGCTTGGCATCTTATAGAGACGCATAAATAAGTATGCATCAGTTTATTTAATGTAATATGGTTACGAGAAAAAGTGAGAAATGGTTGTGGTAAATCACTGCCTGCAGGAATGAATGAGACATTTTTATTCCCAAGCATTATGGAACAAAACTCAACTGCTATAAAAGCTTCTCAAAACCAAAATTTTACGGCATCAATTGATGAATAAAGTTCTGAGTATGCCTCTAAAGGGAACCTAATAAAAAAGTACCACCACCAAACCTCCAGAGATGACATTACAAAGTAAATCTTACCGTATGTCCGAAAAGTCCTTGTCATGATACACAAGGAGCAGCATCATTTCTAGTAAAAATGCATCTACTTCTAACTATGTATTCGAAATTCCCGTTGAAGAATGTGTCAAAGTTGCTAGTGGAACATCTGAATGCTTCTGAAATATTTTGGTAATAAAAGTACAATCAATCAACATGAAAGCATGCCTGATTCCCCAAAATACCCAATTTTTTGCAAGAAGTAGACCAAACAAATGATGCAACATTTCTCAAGTTGCTTCTTCAGCTAGAGAATGCTTTTCCAGAACGGCAACAGTCTCTTCCTTAGCACTGGAGATACACAGGAGAATGGAAGAATGTTAACACTGTCTTAGAAATACAGCTAGACTTTCTGCCTAGACTGCAAGAAACCTAGACAGTATGTATGTATATGAGATGCAATGATTGACTCAAATATGTGAGGCAATATAGAGATTGAAACTGTCGTAACCTTAGTATGTTTTTATTATCTGTCTTGCATGATTATAAGAAAGCTCTTCTATTGGAGAGTGTACATACCTTCCCGGTCTAAGAATCTTGTACTTCCCTGGCTTAGTGAGGTCCACAATTGTTGATCCTGCACGACCTGATGGAAGCACACCACCGTCATAAACATAGGCACAGTGTTCCCACAGGTTGTCAAAATCATTGATACAAACACTACTAGGTTTCCCACTTAGGTTTGCACTTGTAAGAGCCAATGCACTTCCTGAACCTCGGGAAATAATCCTAATGAAGTTAGAGTCAGGAACTCGCACTCCTATACTATCTAATCCTGGGTTCAAGGACTTCTCAAGAATGCTAGATTCCCCTGAAATGTATTCAATAATCAACAGCAATATTCAGATACAAACAGTTTAAGCAAGACTAGAGGTGACAAGCTCATTGGTATTAACAAGTAACAAACCTCGCTGTAATACAACAGTAACAGGTCCAGGGAGGAGGGAATCAAGTAAGCCACTAGGTAAATGGTCTGTCACAGCAAACCGCTTTATGTCTGGAACATCCCCAACACATATTGCAAGAGGACTTGTCTGCTTGCGCCCTTTGATCTCATAAATCCTATTTACTGCTTCCAAAGAACTGTGATCATGTTCCAAGGAAGTAAACTATAAATTAGTATTGCTAAGATAAAAGCAAAATAGATGTTTACTGAATAAAAGGGCTAGGTTTTCTTACATACATTGGAGGAGGGGGGATTTGAACCTGTCTCTTTTGGATGGGCAGATATGCATTTTACCAGTGGAACTAAAAGCTAAAGTGGCACACAAGGGCTAGTTAATTACTCAGACGGTATAATGCTTTTGACAAAAAAACATCCACAAGAGATTCTTCAACCATCTTAATCAATTTAAACAGTACAGCTTTAGCCCCTCCACCCCCACAAAAAGGAAAAACAAAACAACAAAAAGGTTGGTGCATTTCTTAGTCACTGCTTTGTTCTTTTAACTTTTAAGATCTAAATCTTCCTAACAGTTGTCCACTAAGACTCTAAAAGATCCCATTTTCTCAAAACATATAGCAGCTGAAACTGGAGTTCATCAACTCTCCAATTGCTGTAAGTATAGTAGGGTCAGAAAAAGATATTGTCTCAAATTCTATAGTTTCATATTTATTTATATTCTTTTCTTCATTACAAACTAGTAAATCACACAAGATTGACTCAAAAAATTAAAGATTAAATCAATGTATTGACTAACAGTTATACAGACACATGTTAGAAAACTCACTTCATCCTTTTTGAGTTTCTTGACAGAGAAGATTTAACTTTGAATACATTGAACTATAAAGCAGAAGAAATAAAAGTTTTATAGAAAGCAAAGAAAACAAAATTATGAGAAGACCAAGTTGTGATCTAAGCATCTTCTTTTGAGATTGATTTATGAATTAAATTCTCCCTATGAGTAGACAAACCAGTCAAACAAAAGTTTCATGTTCTATCTGAATCCAATAAGAACCCACATTTGATATAGGCTGTCCTCCTGAAGGCACTTAGACTTAAATGACAAGGACTTGCCATTCAACATACAAGAAAATCAGTTATCACATGATAAGCAGCAATAATTGTGCCAAATAAATGTAATGGACAAAGAAGCACTAATGTGTAGAAAGCATACCAAGCATCACAAGCAAATCCATATAGCGTATCAGTGGGCACTGCAATAATTTTCCCAGCTTTGAGAGCTTCAATAGCCTCATCGGCATACATTTCTGTAGCAGGACAAACTAACCTCAACTTGCTTTCAACAACCACTTCACATCTCTGCATACTGCAAGCCATTTTCTTCAGAAAACCTCCTTCCAATCTTCTCTTCTGGTACAAACATGGAACAAACCCCAACTTGCACAAGCCTAAAATATATAAGTAACAGTTTGAGAAAGTCAAAATCATAGCAAATTTAGCATCAGAGACAAGACTTCCCTTCTCTTTCTAAGGATTAAAAAAACACAGAAATTACTGCTGACAATTGAATTGTGGATTAAAAAGCACCTCTCTGAGGAACACCGGCTGGTCCAGCACTGGCAAGAGGCAATTTCCCTGCAATTCTTGTAGAAAGATTCATACTTTTTCCCAGTTCTCCTATTTAGAACCTTAAATTGTATCTGGGTATTTTCTGTTTGATCTCTCTGAACTTGCTGCGCTTCTTACAACCCAGAAAGGAAACTGCTTCAGAGTTCAGCCACAGTCGCCATTCCAACAGTTACATAACACCATTAAAATTCAGTAAAGTGGTACAAAATCTAGGGAAACTAGCCAACTGAAATGTACAAATTTCAGTTCTATTAAGAATTTACCTTAAACCATTTGGGAATGTTAAGCTCCAACTATGTGGGAATAGACGGCGATGGACACAAGCAGAGGGAGAAATAACAGGGTCTTTGACTATTTTCTTAGCCAAGCCGCAATTTCGTCATACGTTTCATTTTCGGAACATTTCGTTTGTGCCCCAAATTCGTTTAAATTCTGCTTCTTCCCACAACACAATAATCTAGTTTCATTTGTACCCTCTTTTTGTTTTTAACTTCCTATATTAACCGTTCATGTATTGATTTAGAATATTATATAATTCAAATTACATTAAATTACATAATTTAAATTATTAAATAAAATATATCTTTTGATATTAGAAAATATTCTTTAATAATAATTTTTATTTTATAATTTTATATATATATTTTTTTAACATTAAGAATGAGATGAAATTCGAATCTTATATTGTCAAATTTAGTATGAGAAGTTTCTAATAAAAAAAAGTGACCATTAGATTAGATCATAAGCACATTCTCATATTCTATGTATCTTGAATAAAAATAAATAAATAAAAACTCATTAGTTTTTCATACCGCAATGCTGTAAGAAGTTCAATGTGCTTTTCCTTCCAACTGTTCCTGTATTGATTTATTAGGTCAGTGAAACCGAATTGCGTCGAAATCATGGCACTCCGCCTCCTTTTCCCTCTTATGACACTTCATTGCATCACTTGGTCATGAATAGTATATTAAACAATATTTGCATAGAAAAATCGATGTTGAACAGGAGGTTCTGAGTTTTATATCAGGATTAAATTGAAATATTATAATTTCAAAAAAAAGAAAAAAAATCTTGTTCATCTTTCTGGAGTAACTTATTTGCAAGTTTTGTTTATTTTTTATAAACATACACGAAGGAACAATGATGACACAGCAAGCTCTCTCATCCTCAGAGCTTTTTTATTGTTTGTGGGGGATGAGTACAGAGGACGACATACTCAAATTAAGCTTCAGAAAGAGAACATACCCATTGGCGTATAAGAACTTTTTTTTTTTTTTTTTGGGTCTTTGAAGAGTTACAACTTTATATACAGGGAGGGGGACTCGGACTCTGCACATTGGAAGGGGGACTCGGAGCCTGCTGTACTGGAGGAGGAGGAGTGCAAAAGCAGGTGCCTTGTTCATCGCAGAAGGCAGAGTCATTGAGATAGCCATTGGACTCACACCATCCCTTGCAATAATTATTACCTGTACAAGGATCGGCATCGCACGGGAAGTCACCATAGCAAACACAGTAGCCTTGCTGATCGCAATATCCATTTGGATAGCGGTAAGTAGAAAAACAGTATTGGCCGCAAATAGCCGTGGTGCACGTCCGGTTGAGCAGGGAGGGAGGTGGGAAACAGTAATCCTCGTAGTCGATGCTTGCGGCCAAGAATGACAAGGCCAGGAATGAGAAGAAAATAGTGGTCATGCGCACAGCTGCTGCTTTTGATATTTCCATTGGAAACAGATGGAGAGAGTTACAATATATGATGACAAACGTTGTTTGTTTCTTTGTGTTTTCATAGAAATTGTTATGTTTTTATAGTCAAAGAAATAATTAATTTCAATTTTCAAATCAAACTGCATACTTACAGAAGATGAGTAAAGTACTAAAAAGTTCAAAACTGGGATGCGAAGGGATTGAATTAAGCAAGAGATCTCTGAGGGGGGATTGAGTGTTGACACTTTAATTTCTTTCTACAATTCTCTCTGTTCCTTTGGATGAAAATTACAATTCGCTAGTTTGCTTATTGCTACTAGTATTATATATTTGGGCCTAATTATAATTATAATTAGTTAAGTTTTTTAATTTATTTTAGTTGATTAAATATTTAAATGTAAAATGCTTCCTCGCTCATTGATAAGAGTTTAAATTCACTTATTAACAAGAGTTTAAATTTATATAACTCTTTTTACATTCTTTTTCTTTATAGATTAAATCACTTATCTTATTTTACTTGAAAAAATATTTTTGTCAATATTATGTTGTAGTTATAGGGTTTTTTTTAACTTTTATACTATCTCAAAAATATATTAAATATTAATTAAAAATAGTAAAAATATAGTCTAAAAATTAATTAAAATTAATTAAAAATAATATATTTATATTTTTAAATAAAGTGTTGTGTGAAAAAAAAAAAAAGTGTTGGGACGGGGGTATGCATGATTCGATATATTCAGTGAGGAACAGCGGCCGTTCAGCAGCCTCAAGCTATGGTTAAGGCTAAGGGAACGGTGGCAAGTGATGAGGAGAGTCGCATTACGCACATGATGTGTTTGTTTAGGTCTTGCGATTTTTATTTTTGTTAATTTGGGGTTCGATCCTCAGCTTCAAACCATATGCGCATATAAGTTAGAAAATGTATAGTTTAGATCATGATGACATAAATTTGAGGTTTCAATATCTTAGAATTCATGTTTTACAATCCAATATAGTTTAGATCATGAAATGTATGGTTTTTTGTTAGAAAATTTAGTCCTAAAACATTCCTGTTATTTATTTATGGATAATAAAATCATGTACAACCAACAGAATGATGACACTAAGCTCTCGGAGCTTCTTATTGTTTGCGGCAGATGAGTACACAGATGAAATTAATATTCATAAACATGAGCATTGGCCTAAGCACAGATTTATTTCCTTATTTTTTGTTTTTGTTTTTTTGGAAGGATTACAACTTATACACACGGACTGGGGCTGGGGCTGGGGCTGGGGCTTGGGACATGGGGAGAGAAATTGCAAAGACAGGTGCCTTGTTCATCGCAGAAGCTAGTGTCAGGGGCATAACCATTTGCCACACACCATGCGTCGCAAAAAGTCTTACCTGTATACGGATTACCATCGCACAAGTAGTAATCAAAGCAAACACAGTAGCCTTGGTGATCGCAAAATCCGCTTGGATAGGAATACTTAGAATAGCAGAAATCGGAGCAACTACTAGCCGGAGGGCACGTCCGGTTGAGTGGAGTGGGAGGAGGGATGGGAGGACCGTAATAATCTTGGCTGCTTGCGCCCAAGAACGACAAGGCCAAGAAAGACAGGAAAATAGCTGCTGCTGCTGCCTTTGATATTTCCATTGGAAACAGATACAGATTTACTCTACACTCTTAATTACTTGCTGTTTGTAAATTTCTTTGGGTTTTTATAGATATTGTTATGATCAATCAAGGAAATAATTTATTTGAAGTCAAACTGCATTATGCTTGCGGAAGAAGAGTATACAGCTCGCAGCTGGGATGGGAAGAGGGAATGAATGTAGTGAGGAATCAAGGAGAACCGAAAAGGAAGCAAAGTCATCTCTGACTCTGAAGCAGTGGGTGAGCCATGAGATAGGCTTATATAAGTATTGCATTTCTCGCACATGGTACCACGTAGACATCACATGTTACATTTTGACCCAAAATCAATATCAATACTTGCTTATCTCTTCTCTTCTTATCTAATTGATAATTATCTCTTTAATTTTTCGATCATTAAGCTTGAACTATTGAAATGTAATTATTAGTAGTTCAATTGACCTAGTTCATGACTAAGTAACGTGTTTTAATTATTGAGTTGAAGTTATTTGATTAAAATAGCTAGTTTTAATTTAATTAAGAGAATGAGGATGTAGAAGTCAAGAAGTTATTCACAAGAAACAAAAGTTGAAATTGAAAATAATCGTGAGAAATAAAAATAGAGAGAGCTTGCTTAAAAAATGAAGAAAGTTTTAAAAAAATTTGTTAATTAAAGTTGGTTTTGATTATATACTTTATATGGTTTTATGCATCTCTTGATATCAAATTCGATACAAAATCATATAAAAATTAGTTATCACATTCATAAATCATTATTATAACATGCAAAAATTATAAGTTGCAACAATATCAATATTATTTAAAAAGATCAAGAGCAAAAATTATGGTACCAAAGTGAGAGAGAATGATTATAATGTTTATATAGATATTAACAAGGTTAGTGTCAGTCAAAAAATTTTGATTATCAATATTAGAACTAAAGGAAGAAGGATGCAAGACATTGCTTTAAGTACTTTTTTTTTTCCCTCTAGCTATTCATGTATTAATTTATAGTACATTATGCAGTAATAGACTATAAAGGCTAATAAACAGATCTAATCAATTAAGAATAAGAAATAAATTATAAAAGGAAACATTATATAAGGGCACGAACCAAAAACACAAAACATAAATACAAAACATATAAACAATCATTTTAACTATCTCCAACACTTGAAAGTCTCTCTTAATATATGATTTTCACTTTTGAGTGGAAACATTCCCACCTTGTGTTGTCACCTCCTCTGTTATCGCAAAACTCGATAAACATATTGGGAAAAAAATTAATTAAGTAAAAACCTTAAAAAGAGAAATAAACTAATCAAGAGAAAAACCTTCAAAAGGAAGGAAAATTTCTCATAGAATAATGATAAAAAAAAGTTAAAAAAAGAGACGATTTCGAATTGACTTATCACATCACCAATATATTAATAAAATAAAATTCATTTTTTTTTATTTTTTTTATTTTTTACATTTTTTTCATGTCATTGGTCCCATTAATTTGTTTCATTTTTTCGTCCTTTGTATCGTTAGCCAGGAAGGAAAAATGTAGAGGGCGACATTTACTAAAGAGGGGACAAGAGGGGCTCTACGGTTTCTCGTAGTTAATAATGAGTTTAGTGAAATTGGGCTTCAGCCATTGGGCCTAGGTCTTGGGCTTACCCTCTGTATTTTTCTTTTAGATTGGCAACTTGGTCTTGGACTTGAAAAATTTTATAAATTTTGAAATTTTTATTTTGAATTTTGAAAATTAAAATTCAAAATTTATAATACTTGATTATATAATTACTATTTTTTAAGTTACCTATAAATTTACAATCTTATATAATTTTAGACTCTATTGTTTTACTGTTCAAATTTTATTAGATTGCAAAACAAAACCTTTAGATAAAAGAAATCTTCATCTCTAATCTAAAATTCTATATTTTGTACTCTAATACAATTTAGATTACAATACACTTTTTCGATGATTATTATAAGTATATATATATCAATAGAATGAAGAAAATTAAGATATTCTTACAATTAAAATGGTAAAACTAATAATGAAAAGATTATAATACTCTTAATAAAAAAAAATGGATTAGGATGATTAGGGTACGAAGGACAAACACAAGGAAAGCAATGAACAAAATTAAGAAAAGCTTAAGGAACAGAACCATGCATGGCATATTGGCATGTAAATTAAGTATGATAAGTTAATTGAACCAAAAAAAAGTATTAGGGCCTGTATGGTGCAACTTGTTGGAGTTTTTGTTTTTTTGTTTTTTTTTTTTGTACTGTTTATGAGTGATAAGTTTATATTTTTATTGGAGAAAAAATTTAAAAGTTACTTTTAAATATAGAAAAAAAGGTGAGTAAAAAATGAAATTGTGAAAAGTTTGAATTTGAAATTTTGAGTTTTTACTGTTTGAGATATTTTTAAAATTAAAAATTATTTTTAAAATGTAAATTTTTAAGAAAAAAATTTAAACATATGAAATATAAATAATATCAAAAAATTAAACTATTGAAACTCTTAGAAGTACTACCAAATAAACCCTTAACATGATAAGTAAATTTAACTAAAGAAAGATATGAACGCGTAGTTAAACCCAACCTAAACTCCTACCCTGGTTTATCCACAAACATGGTTGTCTTGCGAATCGCATTGGCCAGTGGAATAGCCTCAGGACGCACACCACTAGGGCAAGAAG